GTGGAGGAGTAAACTTATCAATTAAATTACACTTGACTTAATAACCAACATTTTAAAATAGAATTCAATAATAAGGAGACAAATTGAGCTTAAATATCCTGGGTACGTTCGCTGCCATCTTACACTTTTACATCATCTGAAGCCAGAGTCTGTGCAGCAGGGATTGTGAAAAGGAGCCGTTATATCGAGTTCTTTTGATACACATTCAATTATGACGTATAACTTTCATAGCATCAAATAACTAAAAACCCTATTTATCAGAAACATGAACAAACATCAGAGTGGTAAGAACTGGCCTACCTAAAATAACAGAAATTGTTCAAACTGTTTTCTACAAGTAAAGTTCCAGAAGGTTAAGAATGCTTCAAATGTCCAGCTTTTGCCAAAGTGGTAGTAATGTGGATGTGAACTTGACCAAAGCAACCTCAATAGTTGTGATTCAATTGTATGATCACCTCCTTTGTATCAACGTGTTCAGTAGCACCCAGTTTATAGTCCATTCATAAGAGCAGACTGCAATATGACAGATTGTACTTGAGTTGGACTGTGGGGGTATATCTGACAAAATAACAGGTTGATACAGATGCTTGAGAATAAAGCACGTTGCATCTTTATCACAACAGGAACTGCCAATATTCTCCACTATCGCTGAGGCAGATCAGATTTACTACACTGATGTGTTTCCAGAAATGGAATGATGTAATTCAATACAACTGCAGTTCTGTCTTTATGAAAGTGCGTCTGTACTCGAGGCATGGCAGGTGTGCTGGAAAAAAAAAAAGAAAGAGCCAGTCCCCTAATGAACGAGTGCCTAATGACTCCATAATCCCTTACCTCGATTATCTCCAGCATTTCCACTCTGGTGATTTTGCCGTCCCCGTCCAGGTCGTACATGTTGAAGGCCCAGTTGAGTTTCTGCTCAAAGCTGCCACGGGATGTGATGGACAGGGCGCAGATGAACTCTCGGAAATCAATGGTCCCGTCTCCGTTTTTGTCAAAGGTTCTGAAGGCGTGTTCCGCAAATTTTGATGCATCGCCATAAGGGAAGAACTGGAAGTGTGGGAGAGAAGTGTTTAATTATTCACCCAGGGTTTTAAAAAGGCTGCAGTGGCAGCGGTAATAGCATATTATTGGAAAGTGGCCATGGCATGAGTAAATGTTCTAAAATAGAACTCTGACAGATGTAAAAGGAGCAGATCATTAAAAACAGAAAGGACGTGGTTCGTGCAGACCTTGACATAAAGCTGCTGGAACTCCTCCAGATTCAGCCTGCCTGTGGGGCAGTCTTTCAGGAACCCTTTGTACCACTGCTTCAGCTCATGTTCATTAAACTCCGTGTTCTTCACCAGATCCTCCATCACCTCCGGAGTCAGCTTGCTGTTCTGCTTTCCCATGGTTCCTGTGGTGCAAGCACACGTGAATAATGCATTTATCTACGCTCGAGCGACAGCGGTATGAAAATCTCTATAGCACGGCACAGAAAAAACTCCTTATAACATCCACATGAGTTAGTGTAGAGCGAGTAAATGTGTTTAGCTTTTTTAGTAGCTGTTAAGGGGGGGTTCTCTCCCTGGTGCTCCTGTTCTATTTCTGTCCCCTCGGCCTGTTTGTGCCAGACTGTGGCTCGTGTAGCCCTGACCTGGATCACCACTGTCAGAGCAGAACCAGTTCATCAAATGTTCGATCGCCGCTATCAAGTTTCCATTGAAAACACTGTCCTACAACCTGACAGCGACAACAAAGCCTGTGCTTGGTTGTGTCAGCAGCAGTGCTGCAGTAACTCCACAGACCTCAGTATATGGGCAGCATGCAGGAGCACGCAGAGGCCCTTCTGTAATCTGGATCAGAGGGGAATATAGCTTATAAATGAGTATGTAATATAGTGTCTAAGCCAGGTGTGGGGAATCCACGGAACAAGCTGTCCGGATTAGTTTCTTATCCACAACGAAGGCCCTCAGTAGCAATCATTACAACTTGGAACAGCCGCACCAGAGCAGCCTGTCAGGAGCCCCGGAGTCATGAATTATTGACCAGTGATGTAGCAGAAATTACATAAAATGGCCAAGAATGCGCCAATGCTCAATACATATTTTAACAAATGAGACCGCAGCATATTCTTTGCATATTGGAACACAGTGTGAAAATGTTCTGGAGACCAGCATATGGTCCAGGTCTCTGCAGCAGCAGCAGCAGCAGCAGACTGGACTGCATTGGCTCAGGCCTTCCACAACAAACAGCAGAAATGTGCTGCAGCTACAATCACTGCAGCCTTTTAACGAGTCACACACACAACCCTGACGTGCATGTGCGGTGAGTTACAGGCAAAGATCGGGGGAGGGGGGGTGTTAATCACTGAGACTCAAGCTCCGGTGGATGACCTTGAGAACGAGCGTTATTTCGCAGGGAAAGGGGGGAAATAGTTTCACGGAGCGCTGCGCTTCAGAAAACGGCTCGAATGAGGTGGGAGACGTTCGCCACATCTCGCACAGGCCACGGGCACGGAGGACTCGTCGTGCCCGGACGTGGGGGCCGGCAGATGCTGCTTTTATTTCCACACTGTGGGCAATGACATCTGAGTTAATGCTACTGAAGCTAAATGTGAGAGAGGGAGAGAGAGACGCTGCTGCTGCTGCTGCTGCTGCATTCCGATGGAAACGACGCAGTGAGAGTGTTTTCACATCACATCCCTCCATCCTGCTTCTAATGGCTCCGTGCGCAGAGAGAAACATGCCCAAATCTCATCCACCGCACAAAACCAGCATACCCCCCCCCCCCCAAAAAAATATCTGCAGACACATTACGTCTCCATGAAAGCCAATTAATTACGTAAACCCACACGACATTTTGTTCCTCTGTCAAATCATCCACCGTCGTTTTCTGTTTTTTTGTTTTTCTGGCTGTTTCCAGGCAGAGGCTTTATTTTAAGGGATGCGCAGGTGCCAGTGTGCCAGCCCCTCGTCCGCTCGATCGCATTCATTCCAAAAACGCAAAGAAAAAAAACATGACAAATAACCAATGACCAATATTAATAAAAACCATCCACCGATTGCAGCATCTGTAATCTGAAGATCCAACACATCTGCAGGCACAGTCACTTCTTACCTTTTTTTTTTCACAGCCTATATCTGGTGCTTCTCTATCGGAATAAATCTGCTCTGGCTTCTGCAAAGTACAGAAAACCCCCCTTCCGATGGAGACGTTCGCCCAAAAGGGGGATTATTCTCAACACTGCTCGTGTCCTCCTTTAAAAAAAAACAGACACCTGCTATTGAATTTTCTGGATTTTCCCGACGTTATTCCAGATGAGGCGCAGCAGGGACCGATCCCACGCCAGTCTTTTGGTTACGCGACTGCAGGAGCGCGGCGTCACCCGTGCGCATCACAGTCTGATCGTAAGTTCACTGATGCTCTGCTGCTCCGTTTGGGCTCGATGGAGCTGGATCCTGTCACTTTATGACCGGAGCCTTCATGGAGATGAGGACGAGCAGCCTCACGTTTCATCATCAGGACATTAAACTCGTTTTTTTTTTTTTTGGTTTTTGGGGGGAGGTGAGGGGGTTGGAAACAAAATCAGTGCGCAAGATGGAGCGATTTTTGGGACACTGACGACTCAGGAATTTATAATCCATGCACTTGAGGGGTGGATTATTGCATTTCCATTATGGGTTTAAAAAGCATAATGGGATTTTTCGAGGGTGGAAAACAAACCAGGGCCCCTGAAAGCCTCAGGTTCACTGAGCCAGCAGCCATGAAGCCAAGTCACCTCAGCCACACCCTCTGACACCATACATTTCATTTTATCCAGTTTATTGTACAATTATATGTTGGTTTGATTTCTCCAGCTAGAAGATCTACAGAGTTAAAACGCTAGTTTACTAAAAAAAAACGGTGCCGATGGAGTGGTGGGTGAAGTGTTCGAGTCCACAAAACACATTTGGAGTTTCAGGGGTAAACAGTGTTGAAGTAAATGGTGACCAATTCTTCTAACGTAAATAAACAATAGAAAAAATATAAAATGCCTCCACACTGCTCCTGAGGTGTCGTCCGTAAGCCTCCACATTCAAATTCGACTTGAAACAGCATCATTTACACCATTTTTTAGCCTTAATGTCCACTGTGATCCTCACACGAACGTGGCTCCAGAGGAGGATATCACAGGACATTTAGGCCATTTCCATAAAGATCTATATGAATGTAGCTATTCCTGGAGCTTTCAACCAAATCCACAGTCTTCTTCATGTGTCTCCAAGGTCATGAATGAATCTCATGCTCTTTTAGTGTTGTGTCAAAACCCTTTCCACACCAGAATGGGAAAAGTCAGGTTGGATGATGCTGAATCATTTATTATTATTTGTTTGTTAACTCTTGGCCTAAGAAGTCAGATAGTGGAATCAGGCCATACACATACACCAAGTGCTCATGGATAACAGGATAATAGGATTTCTTTTTGTTGTATTTCATCAAATTACCTCAATCTCACTGAATCCCACACAGGGGAATTGATCTTTGTGTAAGATGTAACAATCAAAATGTGGTTATAAAGGGATGTTGTGTCATTTTTGGGAACATCCTTGGTTGTTTTCTTGCTGAGTTAAATGAGAAGATTGATCCATTTTCAGTGTTTGAAAAAATAAAAATGTGAGATATATTGTTTAAATTATATATATATATATATATATATATATATTAGTTAACTTTAGAGGTCAGGTAAATGGATTTTATTACCCTTCACTGAGCCAGACTGGCTTTTTCTGGTCTGTCGGTAGTTTCATATTTAGGACCCCTGGAGGTCCCTGGACACCATCTTAGGAGCCACATATATAGGTCACCTTTGCTAAATCACATTTTGAAGCACGGTTAAGGTTCCCAGCCAAAATAATTCTCTGCTGTGAGTACCCCAACTCAAATCTGGATAAATTCTGGCTTCTTTAGTTTTAAAATGAGTGACCATCATAGTTTTGCGATTCAGAAACACAGAAATAAAAAGCCTGACTCACTCATAAGCTCTGATTACTTGATTTCTTAATTTAATACTCACATACAGTAACAGTATACACACAGGATATCCTTTACATCTCACAGACACAAAAGCAAACACTTAAATACGTAGATAACTTTTAGCACCAGCGTAGAGGACTGATCCACTCAGCTTTTATCTAAAACTCTTACTCATAGTGATTTTCAAAATAAAACACCTCAGCTTGTTCTCACTAGGCATGGCTTACATGTAATTTCTTTACAGCAGCATTCACTTACAAAGGTTAATTGATTAAAAAGGATGCATACTGTACACCGAAAGTGGTATACAAAAGCAATATTATATTATATACCCATTTACATCGCCATTTAGGTTTTCTTAGTGTCACATTTATGTGATTTGCGTGTTCTGACGACTTCGGTATCAACACTGATGCTTGATAAAAACTTATAAACCCATAAAAATAAAAAATGTTCTAATGAGTATACATGAGGAGAGATAATTGGCATGTAACAATCTTGCATATTGAAACATAAATATATCACGTTCACATGCTCTCATTTTACTTTGTGTATAGGAACAAGAGAGCTACTTTCTTTCTATATTTTGTTTAGGTTATACAGTCTTTTACATGTTAAAATTATAATTGAAAGAAGGACCCATCCACAGGGAAAGTATTTTTTTGTTACACAGAAATGTGAAAAAATAGTATCAAAATGATTTTCTAAATCTCTCAATCAAAAAGCAATGTAAAATGTAATGCACCATTTTCAGTGGAGTCATAGATATGTTTTCATCTTGATAAACACGAGTAAACAAGATCCTGTGGTGAAATCTGACAATTGAAAGTCGTCTTAAGGTAAAAAATGTTTTCTGTTATACATTTCTGGTCAGATAAGGAATCTATATAACATGTTTCCTGTGGATGTATTCCATAATCTGAAGGTTTTTAATTCAAAGTCACCGACAAAAGTAGCGTAAGTAATTTTAAATGGGAATCTTAAAAACGAAATCTGTACTAAAAGAGTCTGACTGTAGCTCTCAGCTCAGAGTAGGGTCGCCACTTCCTTCAGGGTCCCCAGAACTAAAGGACGTCACTTTCTCCTTTTATTTAATCAGATTTAAAACATTCACAGAGTTTGCTAAGAATGGCTAACATTTATTTTATCATAACAAAGTGTAAAAATGTGACAGCACGATGCTCAAATTGAGGAAACAAAGAATTGTCACCTGAATCTGCGGCTCGTCTTAGCGTAGCTTTGGCTATTTGGGTTTTACAGTGAGTTTCCACTCCCATCCCTGTTCGCTTAGTGTTGTTTTAAGCCTCAGTAGACGTCTGTTTTCAGTGAAAATGTTTAAAAACCCGATGCACACAGGACCAAACAGTACTTAGACAGTTAAGACCATAGCTGCTGAAAGCTAAACAACAAACAATTTCCAATATGGACCAAAAATACATTCGTCAAGTGAAGCACCAAATGAGACCAAATAATGTAAGTCCATAACGGCTGTTAACTGTTTGATAGCAAGTTCCACTGCCCCCAAGTGGCCAAAAACTCTGTAATTGCAGCTTTAAGAAGTGTTAAAGTTAAAGTGCGTATAGTGTGTTAGCTGTGAAAAATAAGAATATCAAAAAATACAGCATTGTTGACATCGCATAAACTGCAGGTGATGTTGGAGAAGATTTACATTAGCCCTATAATATCACCATGAAGCATTAAGGTGGAGCCTATTTTTTCCCTTGGACATTTAATTCTTTGAGTGGCTTTCTTGGATTTCTTCGCTATTACCTTATCAATTCAAAAATTACATTACCGTTTCTTCTTTACGAAAAGGAGATAAATAAAAAGTAGAAGCAAATTTTTTTTTAAATATTTTTTTGGTAGAAAAGGAAGTGACACCCACTCCTGGGACCCTGAAGAAAGTGACATACCTTCCGCTTGGGGACATGAGACCCCAGGCATGACCCTATACTCAAACTCAAACAACTTGGATTCAAGAGGGAAGGAGATTTCAGAACTTTGTCTGCTTTAGTTTGTCGATGTGGTAGCAAAGCTTCAAGGCCGGCCCCAGCTTCAGTCCGAGGTACTTCATGATCATGTCGCTCTTCAGGAGTAACAACGCGTTTCCATCAATCTCCTGAGAGAAAAAGAAGTGAGAAATAGTTGAACAGCCAAGGGGATTTCTGCTGGATGTTCAGTCTGGCTATGAAGCAGCAGTCTGACATGTCAGCTTGTTGAGAACACAGCGGACTTACATGTTTTCTAAAGACGTCCGCATGAGGGCCAAGAGCCTGTGGGTCTGCGTCTCTGATGAACCAGACAACATCTTCCACAGACCAGGTGGTTGGATCCTTATTGGGCGGAGCTTTGGACTCCTGGGACTCTGAAGATGCATTATATCCTCCTGGAAGAACAAAGCAGAGAAAGCAGTTTTACCTTTTGTACGTTTGGGGAATGAACCCTGGCACAATCTTGTTTTTTTCCCCCCCACGACTCCTCACCTGTCCTGTTGCTCTCTGGGAATGTGCTTGGGCTGGTTGACGACTGCCTGCACATGCTCATGGAGGCTGAGCCGTTGGAGAACTGCTGTGATGAACGGAACCCGTAGGAGGACTTTGGCGAGTAGGACGAGCTTATGGAGCTGAAAGCAGAATCGCCAGGGTCCAAGGAGTAGCGTTTGCCGTCTGACTGGTCTAAGTGGTAGTCATCGGCCATGGATGTCTCAGCTAAAGACAAGATTAGAGTCGAAATTAGCTTAAAGCATTTGTTTATATTGACACAGTTGCTTCTGCTGAGGTCAAAATGTCCAAGTACCATCTGACTGGTAGGAGCGGCCACTGTGCTGGGTAATGGGCTGATCACTGAAGAGGTTCTCACAGTGCAAGCTGCGACAGAGTTTCTTCAGAAAACGAAGCACATAGTCAATACTGTTCACCACAGGGAGGCTCAGAAGGTGCTGCTTCCCGTCAAACGTGGCTGCAAGAGCAAAACAGGGAGAGCACTTGAAACAACAGCACAGTCTGGACACAATTTCCCACAAATTAGGTCAATATGGTCTAAAGATAAATATTTCTCACTACCACCTCAGGTAAAATGGTAAGAAATGTATTGAAGGGTATTGAACAAACAGAAAACAACACCTGAGGGGGGTCTTTGTACAACACCTGATATTTTTTCTCCCCCGTAGCCTTGTGTGAGGAGAGTGAACACTGTTTTCTGCTGGAAGGCGCTGTCGATGCAGCCCTGGACGGCCTGCTGCAGAACCACCGAGGGCCTGTCGGGACCAAAGTGATCGGGGAGCTGCTGGATCTTCTTCCTGTCCAGGTTGGGGCCCGTGTTGGCCTGCTTGTTGATGTAGATACACACTAGTATGGGGGAAAACACAGATGGAGATATGGAAATAAGGAGAAAGTATCTTTTGTGTCTCATCACAGTTTGTCCTTAAACAACCCCAGACTGGATCCTACAAGGCCATTAGATTGTTTCCTACCTGTGAGCACCTGGGGCGTGGCAGAGTGAGGGATGGTGGCTGCATCCTGAGGGATGGAGCTCATATCTGGCTCTGGGGTGCTACTGGGTGGAGAAATAGCCAACGGTGTCATCACCATCCTGGGTTTGAGCTGCAGAAAAAGTACATGTTTTTCCTGTGTTTATTTCGGGCATATCATTTATTTACACACACTAAATGATGTAAGGGGGGATGGTTAAACAATCTGGATACGAAATCTGTGTGGAGTTGTTCTGCAGATGATGAGGTTTGTATGTATTTATGAATATAAAACATATATTTGTATTTATGACCGGCTCCTTTCAGACATAAAATGTTTCTATAATATTTGACTGCAGCAGAACAAAGCCTCATAGATGTTTCAGGGTCTTTCTGTTACACCAGGGTCCAACAAAATCTGAAGGGCATGGAGCCTGTGTCTGTATCTCTCTGTGTACACATGCATTTTTTAACATGCTGCATCCACAACACCACATCTCACCCCCCCTGTTTCACCCTAATCTGGCTGACCTTGAAGCCCGGCTTTCTCCCCCTCTTCTTTGGCACTTTGAGCGGAGGCAGCGATTCTGGGTAACGGTTGGGAAAATCCATCTTGGCGACATTGCGGAGTGGGGGTCTCCCTCTCTTCCTGCCCGGTATCTTCCCCGACTGGCTGGGGAGGAAAGAGGGAGCCACTGCAGCTGATTGCATTTCACTGTTGTTGCCGTCTGATTTCTGTGCCGTTGCTGCAGGTACACTCATTTGGAGCTGGAGACAAAGGAAACAACCGTTGAGCAAAGGCAAAAGAAAACACACAGAAACATGCACTTTACTTAAACATCAATACTCCTCCTCAGGGGCTGCATATCAGAGAGCAGCATCAATTCAGAGCAGACACAGAGGAAGTAGCTTTGGTGTAAAGCTGCACAACAGCAACACTAAGAGACTGCAGAGGACTGATGCAGTGAGGAGAGCAGAATTTAGCAGAGCACTGTGGTAATAATCGAACAACAAAAAAGGGCAACCATGCAAGAGCTGTGGAGGAAACAGCACCTCCATCCTGCACTGATAACACACCAATAACCCTGAGAGAGAGAGAGAGACAGAGAGAGAGAGAGCGAGAGAGAGAGAGAGGGAGGGGGTGTCTATTACCTGCTATCTTCTATTGTGAAAGTCCAAGAGCCAAGCCCTTTAGTCTTAAATCCCAGGAGCCTAGAAAGTGACTATAAAGCTAAATCCCTCACAATGCAGGGAAAGCCATCTTTGTCTTTCTGTATGTGGCGTTTTCCTCTTCCCCCGTTGGTTAACACACGGCTGCTGCCTCCTCTGCCTCTGCTGCTGCTGCTGCTCGGCACACAGGCTGCAGACATCTCATTAGACTAATGCATTCAGCAGTGGCAGAGGGAGGGGGAAATTGACTTCACCATGGCTACCCAGCTATGAATTACCATTATGATGACAGCTTCCACCCTAATCTTTAAAAAATAAGAAGGAGCAGCTCCGAGAAAGGAAACATGTGGCACATCTTTCATGCAGCAGCAGCAGCAGCAGCAGCAGAGCTAACCAGAAGGAAGGAACTGCAATTTATGAATATGCCACTTAAAAAGGATCCTGCTTAAAGCAGATTTGGCAAAGGATCCAGTGTGTAAACAAACAATAACCAGTCACCAGGCACTCACCATCCAAAACAGATGTGGAGATGTGGAGGATCCCTCTGCTCCGTGCTAGATTTCCTATATTTTTCCTGCTCCCAATAGCAGAGCTTGGATCTCAAAGCAAGGCGGATTCCACTGTAATACAGTGTATATATGTGTGTGTGTGTGTGTGTGTGTGTAGCAGAAACAGACAGAGAGCGAGTGACAGTGTGTGTGTCTGTGTGCATTAGAGAGAGAGGAGGGAGAGAGAAGGGCTCCTCTGTTGTCATGGCAACAAGCCTGTAAGCCCTGGAACACCCTGACTGTTGTCTGCCATGTTTTGTCTGCAACTCCGGCTCAGTGCTGTGGAGATATAATTAGACTGAGGACGGAGTCATAATGAGAAAATTCATAGGAAAGTATGAAAATGTTATTTTTCTGTTGTGGGTTTCCAATGGTGTGCTTCAGCGTTACTTTAAACATTCATACTCACATTTTTGTGGCTTTCATACTAATCTTCTGAAAATCAAAAGATTATTTTCAGTCATTTCCTGAGTCAAAATGCCAAATATTTACTCGTTCCAGCTTCTCAAATGTAAGCGGTTTGTGCTTTCTTTGTCATACATGGTAAACTGAATGTATTTGAGGTTTTGGCTGTAGGTCAAATAAACAAAACATGAAAATCCCGAGCAGTGGTGAACTGTAACAGGCATTGACTAGATTTATCAGTTAATTAAAGAAACATAGATATAAATATAATTTCTTATAAACAATAATCAGTAGTCCCAGTTAATTGTAGTTTTGCAAAATGATTACACTTGCTCTGTAGTTCATCGACTAACATTTTAAAAATTTTTTTTTTTTACAAAACATCAATCTGAAATGCAAATATTTTTAAATGGAAATCTTGTCAAAAAAATTCTTTTTATTCCAGCCTCTCAAACATGATAATATGCTGCCTTTCTCTTTTTGTGATATTGTAAAATGTATTTATTTTATACATATATACTGTATATATGATAAGATAAGATAGGATAATCCTTTCTTAGTCCCACAGAGGGGAGATTTGCGATGTTGCAGCAGCAGGAGGGCAGTCAGGCATAAACACCAGTATAGTATCAATAAGTAGCATGAAATATTTATAAGGAGATATAAGTAAGAAAAAGTATATATATAAAGGCAGTAAAAACTAATATATACAGTGTAAACAGAATATACACAATGTGAACACAGTACGGTGAAATGAATTGCACATTAGCCAATAATATATATATATATGTATACCATGACACATTTTAGCCTGGACATATCACTGACTTTGAATTTCTCACATGTACTTGCATAAAGAAAGTCTTCATTCTGTATATTATATATATTATATATATATATATATATAATATATATATATAATTTTACAATATTATAAAAAAGAGACAGGCAGCATTTTGTCATGTTGTTGTTTTTTAATCACTCTGCCCTCAAAAGGTAAACAGCCCCACCCTGATCTACAATAGATTTACACGTGGACGAAATTTTTTTTTTAATTATTATTATCATTATTATTATTGTTATTACAGAATTGACCGATGTGTCGCCCCCTGCCGGCTGACGTTTGTTTTGCGTGTGTGTTATGTCCTTGCTAATAAAGTTGCGTGACGTCATTTGAAAGAAGATGGCGGCCCTCGCACCGCTGTGTGTGGGGATGTCACCCTCAGCCCTCCTGGGCTTCAGGCGTCTGTTGACGGAGCGATATTTCTCCGGGAGGCCGCTGACATGTTTGACGCGGATCTGCGGACGAGGTGAGGCCGCTGTGAGTTGAGTCCCCGTGACGGTGGAGGTGAAAACATGTGTAAACTGTGTGAACGCTCACCCAGCGAGCTGGTTGACATTCTCCCGCCGCAGACCCGCTGTTGTTGTGGTTATTCAACATGTTTTATGAACTTAGATTCATCTGCTCTGTGGGTTTATTCTGTCCCAGCTGTCACACTTCACCGTCACCGACCTCATCTATAACACTCGTTTTCCTGCTGTAAACAAAACGAGCTGAACTTCCGCTTCCGTCCGTGTTGTGTTCATTTCTAAGGTTACTCCGTCAAAGCCCGGCAGGAGGTGGAGGAGGAGGTCGGTGCGGGCGCCACCGGGGGCTTCTGCGGACCTATGGATCACTACAGCGGGCTGATCAGAGACGGGACGCTGCGGGAGGACGAGCACCAGAGAGCGGTGCTGCAGAGACTGGACGAGCTGCACAAAACCCTGCGAGGATACAGCAACACTCCCACATCCATCTTCTCCAAGGTAGTGACTGGTAGTGACCGATGATTTCATGCTGTCGTTAATAAACCTGGAAACATTCACCACATGTTAACGTTGATGGAGAAATGATTGATCTGGGTGAATCCTGCTGTTAAACTCTGAACTTTGGGTAAACGATACCTGAATATTGTGCAGTCGTGTAGATTATTGCTGCAAAAAGAAGTTAATACAACTCCTTTAGCTAAATGACACGTTAAAAACAAGCCAATCATGCAACAAAATGCATGGAGAAAAATTCAGACTTACAACTTCAGCTTGTAACCTAACCCTCTGTCAGATGTTACTGTTTGCAAACAGCAGCTTTTCTCTCTATTCCTCATTTAAAAATGTGGAATGTTGTTCGTGTCAAGTTTTTTCAGAAACATGTTGTGATGACACAGAGTACAAGATTATTTTCAGCAGTCCAAAAAGTGCATTCATACGTAACACAGCAAAGTGGAAAGAAAAAGAGAAACTCCTCCCCCCATGTGGAAGGATAACAGTATCTTGCTACAGTTTAAATATCCAGCATAAATGTTTCTGTACTGTTTGTCTTATTAAATATTCATGATAGGTTTCATATCGTTTCACCCACCACTGTGTCTGCATTGTGTGTAAACGCAGGCTTATCCTCCCTGTAGATGGTTCAGGTAACATGTGGTTTTTTAAATAAACTACTCTTGTATGTTAGTTGAAATAACTTATTTATTATCATACTTTACTGCCTTTGACTTTGGAGAACATGTCGTATGTGCTATTGTGATGAAGTCAAGTAAACTTGGGTTTATGTTGTAGTTTACTTACAACGATTTATTGAAGTATTGTTTTTTATGCTGTACATTTTCTGTTTTGTAAACTTAACTACCACCAGAATTGGCCTCTTTTATTTCTTGCAGCTAATTTCATTCCTTATTTCTGTCTCCCTTTTTATCTTTCAGTTTTTCACAAAACCTAAACCTCCAAAAGGCTACTACATCTTTGGTGACGTTGGTAAGGAGTGTTGAATAGAAATCTAATTCTCTTATTTCTAGTAACACTGTATTTTAGGTCCTCATCTGTTTCTGACTGACATTGTCTCGTCTTATTTCAGGCACAGGAAAAACAATGGTCATGGACATGTTTTATTCATATGTGGAGACTGAAAAGAAGAAGCGGGTTCATTTCCACGGCTTTATGTTGGATGTGCATAAAAGTGAGTACACTTCATACAGTCAGTGATCTCACAGAGTCCTCCTAACAGCCACTAGGGGGCAGTTGAGCCAGCTCAGAATTATTGCATCAATGCTTGAATACATGAGTTGTTTGAAAAGGTGTAAATTGTTCGTCTGTTCAGTGCGAGGTAAAGATGTTTCTCCTTATATTTTATATAAGAGAGAGACGTGCAGGGTTTGATATCATGTTTAACACAAAATATAAAATACTCAGGCTTCACTAAACAA